ATTTGTACGTGAACTTTCACCTCTTGTTAAGCTAATGTCTTAATTTTCTGCAGTTTTTAGCTTCAGTGAGGTGTTCTCCATCCTTTCATCATCTGGAGGAAGGAACAACTATCTAATCAGCTTGTCTGAAGGAAATGCCTTTTTAATGAGACCAAGTCTCCAGCAGGACTCAAAATAGAAAGGCAGTAAAGTCAGAAGTGTTTATAGAAAGAAACTGCTTTAAAACTGTTAGCGTTGTGGTATCTTGGAAATGACAGCTGCTGATACATCCACAAGCTGTCCCAGTCTCAGCTCTCCTTACTGCTGTACACCCTTGGCTGATGGGCACACTTATACCCCCATTCTACACCGGTAGATGATGAAAATCCTTTCCTGTCACCTCCCTCCTGTACCAGCCCATCTGCAGGGTTTTGCACCAGAGAATCGGAAAACAGAATTTCAAAGCCATCCCAAGGAAAAGCCTCTTGGCTAAAGTCCTGGGATTTCTTATTTATTTACATTTTCTTCCTTGTACCTTGAACATATCTGAAGTTATTCCTTATTTTCTTGATGTGTAAGCCTTCCCTGAGACAAATGCACCAAGTAGAACCAGTCAGGGGTGCAGATCTGGTGCCAAGGAGACATGATTTACGTTACATGCAAATCTACTTTGGCAGCACATGAGCTTTCTTTTCATCCAAATGGCTTAAAGCAAATGAAAACTGGCCTCATCATGGATATACTGCCCTGGAAAGAAACCCAAATGGGTGTAGTCTGAGAGCGGTATCTGAGACAGCTGTGCCTCATTTGTAGCTTCACTGGCAGGGTTTTGAATGGAGCAGAATGTAAACCTCCCAGGAACACTATTTTCCAGTACCTAATGCAGTGCTCTGACATCCTCACAGCCAGGTGAAAGCATCTCCTCTGCCAGATCAAGGGGCAGAACAAATGCCAACCCGGCAGACTGAGGCAAGCATGCCCCAAAGGCAGCTCTCAGGATGATGTTCCTCAGTCACTATTGCAATTATGTCAGATTAACAGTGATTTACAGCTAGGCTGGCACCCAGGGCCACAGAGCAGGAGGGCAACCCCAAAGCTGCACTGCACAAACACCTGCCATAAAACCATAGCCATGGGGAAGGACAAGGATGCAGACACTTGGGTGAGTATCAAACTGTAATAGCTGGTCCTGACATACAGCAGTGTAAAGGAGAGGGATGAGTACAGTCGCCCTGCAGAAAATACCCAGATCAGTTTGGGTGACAGAAGTTGAGTAATGGTTGCAGCACTGCTTTTGTTGTTTGTTTGTTTGTTTGTTTAACACCACAGGACTGATATGTCTCCTGTGAGACCATTATCTCTTAGCAACTGTCCTTGGTTTTCTCTGCTGCATCCTCAGCAGGAATAAGTACACTGGGTGCCCACCACTGCTCCAGTGAGGCTGTACTGGGTGAGGCACACATTAGCTCTCTGGACTGTAAAACATGTCTGGAAGGTTTGGGAATATGATTCCAATGGCAATTGTAGAGATGCCTAATGATACAGCTCAGCTGCTTGCTTTGGCACATTTCACAGAAGTGGTTTCCACCAGCTCTGCTGAAGGAAAATCATCTTCTCCTATTCCTCCTCCTGTTACCAACATTGCTGATGGTTAAGCTTAGATTTTCAGCGTGCACTTTTGCCCCTTGAGGTGTAAGATACCAGTCAAGTACTTCACTAAGGTCCTCACCCTTCACAGTTCTCCCTCAGTTCTTCTGTGTCATAAGCCCTATACACCACAGGCACCGATTCTAGACATGCATCTAAAAAGTTATGCCTGTCTAGTATCAAAACACATGATTACACAGCTAATTTTCAGTAATAGTAACCATAAACAGGAGGAAAGAAGGGAACTAACGTAGAAATTGTGTAGTGACAGATCAAGACAACTCCAGCTGCTAAGGGGTTACCCAGAGGTGAATGTTGACACAAGCCCACAGGTACTCAGCAAGGAGATGGCCAGAGACAAGATGTAATGAGGTGGTCTTAGGGGAGCCGACTCATTTCAGATTGTGGTGTCCAACCTTATCTAGGGCAGCACTGCTGCCTCCCAGCTATGAATGTTCGAGTGTTTATGAAAACCTGACAAGGTATCTGCAAGATATTTAATGCAAAATACTGTGGGGGGCAAAGTTGTTAATGCTTGCTTTGGTCGAGGATACAGCTGAGAATTGCGCTGGAAAAACTACTGAGCCCTGAGGAAAAGGGACTATTCTAGCTATAAAGTCATTTTTCATTCTAGGCTAATGATAATCCAAGGACCTTAGTATTGCACACATTAGTAGTTAAAGCTGCGTCAATTTAGACCAGAAAAGCTGTCTGGGTATAGCAATAATTAACTATTAAATCCAAAAAGGTCACTTGTCCATCCCTGAAGCACTCTACCGAGATCTCTCAGGAATGTGGTATGTTAAAAAGCAAACTCAGGGCTACCAATGGACTTGAGTGGAGATGCAAGACCCTCATTCTTTCTTGTAGCAGAGCAATCCAGGAGGAATTTTTCTAAAGGAATTGAGTATATAATATAAAGAAGAGCAAAAAATTCAGGCATTCTGTCTCTTCTGGACAGAAATTGAACTGATAATTGTATTCTGCTGCAATAAACTAAGCAACCAGATGTTTCAGATAATTAGTATTAGAGTCAAATTTTTCTAGCAGCTGTTTTCCTTGTGAAAGACAAGCAGTTTATCAGCCTGGACAAACTCTTCCAACAGGATGTCTAAGACGTGATCAAGACACAAAATGCTATTTGCATATATTATATCTATATCTATATATTCAAAGCTTTAAAGCATAGACTTGAATATTGGTAACTGCAGTAGCATGTGCAGAGGTTTCCTTCTGCCTCCAGAGTTGATGCACTTGATGAGTTACATGAGTTTTCACAGCTTTGCTGCCTCCAGCATCTAACCTAGAGCAGGTAAAAGTTGACTGGAAAGACCAGCATGCCCCAAAAATGTAGGTTGTTATCTTTTTTAGGGAATTTTAAGACTTCCCCTACTATAACTCTGTATGCTGAAGTATTTAAGAGATACCACTCTATTTTCACCTACTTAAAAGTCTGTGAGCTTGTCCATCCAGTTTATAACACACTACAGCATCCACCTGGAGCAAGGCATCTGTCTAGCCATGTTAATTGAATTAATCTGCAAATCTACCCATCTAGAGACCTCGCTACCTTCCTAACTTCAGGACTTTTATAGCAGAGGTCCCTAAATAAACATCTTAGGAAGGAGATGAGCGGTTCTAATGTCTAAAAAGATTTCCAAAAAATGAGCCTTTTTTGGGCTTCTTTGGTTGAAGAGCCAGTTTTCCCTGGATGGAAAACAAACACCCTATGAACTCGCAGAAACCAGTATGGATGGAAGAGCCAGTTTTTCACAGCCTCATGCAAAAACCTTGGCATTTGAGGCCTCAGGTGGCTTCTAACGTGCATCTTGTGAAGCTTGCAATGTCTAAAGGACTGATCTGTATCTCATTAAAATGAAGGCCACTCAGCTACAAGCATCAGACTGTTCTCCCCACTAATTGTTTGATAAGGATGCCTCAGGCCATCAGTGTTAGAGACTGTGTCCCTGGGGTAGATGGGACTATTGACACCTCTTGATGTGGCCCAGACCTGCTGGAAAAGCTGTGGCAAGCCAAAGTTCAGCATGGGAGAAAGGTGTTGGCAGCTGAGGAGCAAAGGGCAGGAACTGACCGTGCCAGGCCTTTCCCTGTTCTTTCTATCAATGGTTTGCAGTTCTGCGGGGCAATGTGCACCAGCTGATCTGGGTAAAGATTCATCAACCTGGGTGGAGACTCTGCTCAAGAGTAATTTTCAGCATCGTGTTTACTAAAGTTACTCCCATAAAAGTAGGCCAAAATAAAAAGCCCCCAAGCGATGAGAGTATTTTGGGAGAAGAAACTCAAGAAGAGTGCAGGAAGGAGAAAAAAAGGGCTCATTTAAAATATCAGTTCTCTTGACTTCCTGGTGATGACTGGCTTGTGCCTTGAAAAATTAGAATGTTCTTAAGTTCCATTTTCACAGGTATCTTCTGAGGTGTTCAGGAGTTTCGAACAACCGCTGCCTCAGCCACCTTTGAAAAGAAATTTAGGATCCAAATCATGACTTATTTCTGAGAAATGTAACCTGCGTTTCCACAGAAAACTGTTCCTCTCAAAGGCCACGAGCATCTCAGTACTAAATGGATCATTATGGATTTAAACTTACACAAAACTGGAAGGTTAATAACTTAAGGAAGTCAGGTAGCAGCCTCCAGTGTGGATCCAGAAACGAACTGGAAAAGTGCACTCAAGGAGTGAAATAGATCAGGTTTTGCTATTGTGCCAGCAAGGAATGTGATCTGTAATAGTAGAAGCGAAGATTAGTGGTTTTTAACAGAAGATATCTCTTGAAATTAGAACTCGAGGTAGGGGTGACCACAAAGGGCACCACTGGAAGGGCTAGGATACGAAGGACAGGCAGGGTGGCCCACGTGGCAGCGGCACCGCGACGCACGACACCTTCTGCCGGTCCTTTTAAATGACCGCTTAATTTTTGCAGGGCCTCCCTTCCCCTTTGCAAAAGGACAACTACAACTGTATGAAATTAGGGCGCCTGGGGCAGGGGGGTGGGTGACACCTGGAAGGAGATACCGGAGAGACCAACGCGGGGGCACAACCTGCGTGAAGAACCTCCGTTCCCATCGCCGCGCGGGAGCATCCCCGCTCCCTCCGCTCGCGGCTGCGGGTCCGGAGGGCACTCGGGGCTGGGGGGGAGGTCGCTGCGGCCGCTTCCCCCGCGGTGACAAGAACCGGCGGATCCCGGGACGGGGCCGCCCCGCCCGCCTCCGCGGAGCCTCCGCGGAGCCTCCGCCAGCCCCATCCACATCCCCATCCCCGCGCGTTCCCCGCCCCTCGCCGGCGGGGGCGCGGATCCGGCCTGCGCGGGGCCGGCGGAGAGAGCGAGCGCGGCCGGGCGAGGGGAGGAGAGAAGCGAGGAGGAGGCGGCGGCGGAGGCGGCGGCGAGCTGGCCATGGCAGCAGCAGCCCGCGGGCGGAGAGGCAGCCGCCGCGGGCTACCGCTGTGATTGGCACCCCGAGGAGGAGGAGGAGGAGGAGGAAGGCGCGGAGCAGCCGCGGGGCCCGCCATCCCGCGGCGGCGGAGCGGCGGCACCCGGGAGGATGCCGGGGAAGCGGGGCTCGGCGGGCGGCGGCGGCACCGAGCTCCCGGGGGCCGGCGCGCCGCGGCAGCGCAGGCGGCGGAGGAAGGTCTCCTGCTTCTCCAGCATCCAGCTCTTCCTGGTGTCCGAGTGCGCCCTGATGCTGGCCCAGGGCACGGTGGGAGCCTACCTGGTGAGTGCGGCCGGCCCGCAGCCCCCCGCCCCGGCGGGGCTGAGCCGCGGGCGGGGGTGCGCGGCGGAGCGCGGGGGAAGTTTGGCCGGGGCGGCTCGGCGGGGCAGCCCCCCAGCCCGGAGGGGTCACGGCAGCTCGGCGTTTGGCGGCTGAAATGACTCAGCAGTGCCCAGGGGTCACCCACCCGCTGCCTCCCAACTTCTGCGGCCGGTCCCCGGGACTCCCGAGCGCCCGGAGCGCGGCGGGCGGGCTGGCACTGCTGCGGGCTCCCCGGCCGGCCGGGCACTCCGGTCCGGTGCCAGCCTTCCTGCTTCACAGTGAATAAATACCAAGAAATTCTAGCGGGGCATTTACTTCGTGCCTCCCGCCTTACCCGGTTTTGCTCATCCTCTCAAGTGATGCAGCGGTGCTGAGCGCAGCAGCCCCGCCAGTCCCGGTGTTGGGTACAGAACAGCCAAAATAAGACTTCAGTGCTAAATCTGCATAGTGAGATGTGGTGTCAGAGGCAGAAGTATAGTAGAAGAGTTGGGAAGATGTCCATACGGCCGTGCTTGTGCCTTGGAGCATACAGCCTGTGGAAATGTTCTGCTTCCAGCAGATGTAAGTGTATAGTTGATTTAAATTTCTCAAAATAGATTGCTGGATTTGAGAATTATAGTTTCCATGGAAAAGAAATATATGCATAATCTCTGAGGCTTTTTGAGGCCATACACATAATATATTCTACAGTAAGTGTAAGATCTCTGCATTCGGTACTTGCATTCAGTATTTAGCATTGCTCCTCTCACATACTCAAACTACTTATGCAAATTTGTACTGAACGTGATCTATAATTTTTCAAGGTATGTGACTAAACTAACCATGGTTAATATTCCCCATTAATATGAAACGGAAATTAGAATTCATCTCCATATAAAAAAACATAAGTTTAGTTTGGAACATATTTGTAATTCCAAAGGAAACTACATCTGATCTGATGAGATAAATTTAGCAGTTCTATACCCTACATGAGTATAGGTGGGTATAACTTAATTTGTAGGAGCCTGACAGGAACATGCCTCTTTTACGTGAGTAATACCTTAGTAAGTAAGTACATTGTTTCCAATGGGCTGCTTGCAAAATGAGCTGTCAGTGTGGATGAGTGTGGGGTAATCCGTCCTCAAAGTAATAGCCAGGGAAGAGCCCACGGGTGATGTCACCCAGTGGGCACCAGTGTGCTGGAAATGTATGGATCTGCCAGAGGACTGTATGTTGGCACATTTCACTACAGTGTCTGATCAGCAGCAATAGTCCCTAGTGTGGCATTTTCCTCAAACTCCTTTGCATTGCTCTCTCCTCATCGGTTTAGCATTTCTTTTCCTATTTTCCCCAACTCTTGGTGCGTGCTTTGTACCAGAGTAGAGCACTCGCTCCCTCTCACTCCTTTGGAGTGTTTCACGCACCCCAGCCCCACAGGCTGGAAATGACCACTGCCATCACGATTCCTGTACCCTCCCTCCTCCGAGGGATGAAACTCAGCTGAGGTGCTGCTGTCTCTACTCTCAGCCCTTCTCCATGTCTGTATCCTGAGCGGCATGACAGCAATGCCCTGTGGCCAGCCAGATCCACAGGCAGTAACAGACAACTGGTCAGTGGAGGGGAGGGAAGAAGAAAAGCAAACTAAAAACAATCCCCAGCATGCATAAGCAGTGGCCCAGCTGCACTGGGCAAGTGTTCCTCTGTTCCCTGTATAATTTATCTGCCATCATTGCAAATACCATGCAGCTCTTCATATAATGAACACATGCAAATGTGGAATTATCTTTGGAGGGTACATGTGCGCTTTAAGCGAGCCTGGCCAGTGCTGTGCTTACAGGTGCTGCAGGAGAGTGAGAGCAGGAGCAGGAAAGATGCTCGGTGGAAAGTGTGGAGGACATAATCGTTTTTGCAGACGGAGTGTCCCATGAGGCCAAGTGCTGTTCTCAGGTGCTGTCATGGGGTGAAATCAGTGGAGGCACTGCAGAGTTGCTCAGGTGTAACTGCAGGTGGATATTCATTTACTCAGGCTCCTGGGATGAGTGGGGATTGGCTGTGGTCTCCCAGGCTGCTCCCCAAGGGACAAATTAGTGGGCGAGACAAAGCGGAGAGCAAACAGACAGGCAGACAAATAGGGAGATGCTGTGTAGGACAGGCACAGTGTGTAGTTCTGGGCAATTGAATAAACTACTAATTTTAGCCTGTCAGCAGTGAAGGAGTACTGTATTCATACTTCTGCTTTCCTTGGCCACAGTTGTGACTTTCCCTAGTTATTTGTAACTCAGGAAGAGAAACCTTTTTTTGCCTTATACGGCGACAAGTTGGTTTCCTCAGTTATTGTCTGCCTTGTTCTGCACAGGGAGACCATGAGGGCAAAAACTCAGCTTGTTAAGAAAACAAGGCAGAGGCTTGGCTTCTCAGGAGTGATTGAAGAGCTCAGTTTGGATTGGGCTTGGCTTTCATGTCAGTACATTTAGAAGTGGATGTTGCTATTTCTTTTTAGAGATGTAAAAACCCTTCCTTTTTCTGTGTTCACTGTACAATAAACCAGCAGCGCCCACTTGAATGTATGTACAAAGTATACATTCATTCATTATGTGGTTTTGAAGCAAAGATCATTCACTTTTATTCGTTCATAAAACATTGTGCTTGCCAACAGGGCTTTATAAATAATAAATGCTGATAAAAATCTATATAAAGTCCAATTCTTTTCCCACAGAACTCAGCAGTGAAAATACCCCAGGACGCCAACAGTGGATGTCTGTGGTGAAGTGGTACAGTGCCTCTGAGGTTCTTCATGTGAAGTTTTAGGGAGTATTTGATCAATGTCACGTTCCAAAATATTTGTCTATTATTATTCTTGCTGTTTGCAAAATGCACATGTTCCAAAATTACTTGGTGCCATATCCTGCATAGTTTATGCAAATACAAGCCTGTGCCGCTGCCTTAATTTCTGGGGCTGCTGAATACACCCTATTATTTGCATATTCTTGTAAGGTTTTGTGTATGCATTTATTTGGCTTCATCTAATTACTTCTTCGCGCTTTTGGAAACTTGAATTTCCCAGCAACTGCAGTGGCAGTGGGGAAACTGCTGCTTGTAGTCTGCAGGCATTCCTGCTGCAGAAGTTACTCAGGGTTTTCGCAGCAACTTTTTAAAGCCCAGCTGATTTCCCCCCGCGGTTGCTCTCCCGCAGCGTTGGGCAGTGGATTAAAGGGCTGAGCGTTGTTGGTGCAGATGGCACCAGGAGGGAAAGGCTGGAACCTCCGCTCTCCAGCCTGAGCCTTGTGCCTTTCGGGTGAATGCAGCAGTGTGATCAGTCATGCTGGCCATGCAGCGATGAGGATTTTGATAAGGCTGATTCACATACCTTGGCAACACTTCCCTCCCTGTCCTTCCCCCTCCCCCCGCCATGAATTCCTACGTGCACTATATTTTGGAATATTTTCACTGGTAATAACGTTCCAAGTGCTTCTGACGGTTTATCACTGAGGCATTTCATCACCCTGCCAGTCAAATCTTTTGCCTGGCCAGTGGTGAAATCATTGCTTGAGCAGAAGGTGAAGAGCTCTCGTTTGACAGCCACAGTTTGTGGAGCAGGAGCACAATTTAATTTCCCTCCCTAGCCTTTAGCCTCGACTCGCTCCGGTTCAAACTGACCTACTTGCAAGCATCCAACATCTGCCAAAGTCATGGGCTCCTTTAGATAAAGGGCATGCATATGGGAAGTGTGTTGGGAACCAGTTCTGTGGTGTGCTCTGCGGAGCTGTTTTTACAGAGCTTTACTGAGCTGTCTCTGTTTGCTGCAGCTTTGAATGCAGCTATTCATGTGTTTTATCAAGTGATAGAGGATGACTGGCCTGAGCATGGGATGGAAAGGAAAATAATTGGTCCGTCCCAAGGAGGGTGCATTGGTGTTTGCGTGGGAATGAATGCCAAATTGTTTCTTGTTTTGCTGAATGAAAACTTTTGTGCTACACTTAATTTCCCAGGGAGAGCTTTGCCTGTGCAGCAGTGTTTCACTGCAGCTTGCAAAAGCCTTCTTAACATGTCTGCAGTAAAATAGTGCTGTGTGAATCCAGGTGAGAGTGTGTGTGAGAGACAAGCTCCTTCTGTGCAATTTTATTGCCGCTGGGGTTTGGGATATTAATGAAAATCTTGACATTCCATCTTCAGGAAAAAAAAGTATGAAAGATAAATACAGAAGTTAATCATCAAAGGGTTCCTGGTGGAACAAACAGAAATAGGGGTCCTGTGTGAGGAACACCAGGGAACTGAGGGGTTAAGAGCAGAATTTGCCTCTTGGATTTTTAAACTGTATTGGTGCTCAAGCCCTTCCCCTCTCATGTTAAATTTGACAAATGCAAATACTGTGCTCCTGTTGTACAGACCTGGTCAAACACTCTTTGAAGTCAGTGGTGAGGTCTGTGTGGAGGACATCCTTAAAGACAGTTTTTGGAAATACTGCAGTGCTTCAGAGCTTTCTGTTGTGCTTGGTGCTGCACAATAGAATTTTCCCCTGAGTTTTCACAGACTGAGTTGAGTGGGTGAGAGAAGTGTCGCAGGTGGGGAAACTGAGGCAGAGATTAAGAGCTTGATTCTGTTGCTGAAGCTAATGATAAAGCTTTTGCTTGGTTGACAGTATGTTGGTTTTGCTTGGTTGACTGAATGTCTTAGGCATGGGCAGACTTAACTGCAAGAGCAGTTTTTTCCATTTAATTTATTATTGTTTTTAATAAAGTGTTTGTTTTCCTAGAATGAGAATCAGCTTTAAAATACTGCTGTCTTTTTTCTTCTCACCATTCTCAGCAGTGCTGAGTAATAAATTAGCTGTAATGTTCATAATTTATTTGTCACTGAGGTATTTAAGGGGCAAAAAAACCCCCATGGAGTGAAAATAAATGTTTTAGTGGGGATGAAGATTGCCAAGCATTGGCTGGTTATTGCTTACCGTTCATTTTCCCTCAATATATCTATGCTGGCAA